CGATCTCGGGGGTGTCCTTGGCCGCCATGCACACGCTGAAAATCGAAAAGGCGAGCATGGGCACTTCACGGAACAGCTTGGAGGTGCATGAACACGTTGTGTTTCTTGGGTTGCCTCTTGGGGCACTCTTCGAGCAGGGGGGTCGACTACAGAGTTCATTTGCCCCGAAATTGATTCTCACGTCGCGTCTAGAGACAACTTCGTATAACCTTCGTAGATCTACGAACGTCCTACGCGTCTTCCGTGGACTCGACGGGAACATCAATTTTGGGGCAAATCAATGTGTAGTCGATCCCCTACTCGAACTCTTGGGCCGTCCTGGGAGCCTCTGGGGCCATCATGGGTGATCCTTCCTCCTCCTCCTCCTCCTCCTCCTTCTCCTCCTCCTCCTCCTCCTCCTCCTCCTCCTCCTCCCCATCCTCCCCCTCCTCCTCTCCTCCTCATCCTCCTTTTTTGCGTTGGCCAGACCTTGCGTTTACGCATGTGGCATTCTTGAAGTGCGGCAAAGAAACGGAAAAGGTAGACGATTCGGCGCAAGGAGTACTTGGCGGGCGCCGCAGCTAAGGCGGTAAGAAGAGACAGCGGGAAGCATAGGTAGAATAGTAGGCGCCCGCGTGCCCGCCAGGTAGGGCAGCATGTACTTTAGTGGTTGGACCAGGGCGAAAGTAATATCATGAATCATGAACATAGTGAGATCGCCCGAGTTCGTGAAGTATATGCTGCAAACAGAGTAAGCGTAATAACAAGTGCAACGGGCGACGCCTTGACTGTGCAGTTCTAGGGTTGCTGCCCAGGGTTCTGGTTGACCCCAAACCGTATGTTAGTGCGCTCCCCCTCCAACAGCACAGTTACTATACACGTCCCCCCGTCCTCCGCCAGGAACAGTACTGGGCGTGCTGCAGTAGATGGTTTGCGGCTTGAGCAATAAAAAGTAGAAAGAGGGCTGCTACGAGGCTGGCCTGTAGGACTTGCCACAGGAGTAACAAATAGTAGGCAAATAGGGACAGTGCCTCCGCAGTGCAGTTCTTGGGTTGCTGCCCAGGGCTTTGATGGCTAACCCCAAACCACGTAGAGTCCTCCTCCTCCTCCTCCTCCTCCTCCTCCTCCTCCTCCTCCTCCTCTTCCTCCCCCTCCTCCCCGACACGGACAAGGACACGGGTCCAAATTCAGGAGGGGAAACAACATCACATAGACACAATTGATCGCCGATTCCCCGGAAACATCCGGGAAACACATGCGAAGTGGGGGGGAAGACGACACCTCGAACATAGTGGGACATATAGGGATTCTTGGGATTTGTGCCTATTCATTGGTGTGTCCCTGGGCCCCTCTGCAAACGTGGTACGGTGCATAGACGCCGTTCTCGCATTCTCCTGCCATGTTCCGCCACCAGCGTCTGTCAACCATGGCGCGGGCGTCCCGCG